ACGTGTGCTCTTCCGATCTAGAGATTCCGATGCTCTAAGGAAACGCGTGAAACAAGGACAATAGACTCAGCGCGACCAACTTGTCAACACTAAATAATTTTACTTTTCTCAATTGGTAACGCTTTCCCAACATCGACATCACCGAGCAAAAATGGGCGTGGTTTGGCCGAACTGCACACACCATGCTATCCCTTCCACCATGCTTCCGCTCCCACCAGGAGCGATACAGCCAGTGTCCGTTTAAGGCGAGTCCATAGGCACGTCAACGAAATTAGAAAACTCTTGTGCGACAATAGAAAGGTGCGTCAATATAATGTGCGACAATGCACGGGCAAAACGCTTTGAGAGTATATAGAATATATAGATACCTGGAGGTGGAATGCCTTTGTTCTCTGCAGGCCGCAAGCGAGTCCAAGTGTGACAAGGAGTGCGAGAAAGAAAGGTATACGAGCGATACCACGTGATACTTCGTCCTCTCTATCTGTTGAATGATCGACGCATGCGCAGAGAGGACGAACATTAGTCGTCTACCTTTCTCTCTCGCACACATCTTAGACACAGTTTTCGAGCCAACATTCCCCCTCCATGTTTATATACTCAAAGACTCAAAGGCAAAACGCCTTTGATCGGAACTAGAGTCCTAGATTATCAGGCCCGTTCTACAATACGTTGTATGTCGTTGTCGGATGTCGCTAAACGCTTGTCGTATGTTGGATGCTTTGAGTATATAGATACCGTGGAATGCCTTTGTTCTCTGCAGGCCGCAAGCGAGTCCAAAGAGTGGCAAGGAGTGCGAGAGAGAAAGGTATACGAGCGATACCACGTGATACTTCGTCCTCTCTGTCTGTTAAATGATCGACGCATGCGCAGAGAAGACGAACATTACTCGTCTACCTTTCTCTCTTGCACACATCTTGGACACAGTTTTCAAGCCTACATGCCCCCTCCATGTCTATATACTCAAAGGGCCTTACCCTTCTCGTTTTAGGTAAATGTTAGACTTACTGCGGTCGCCACCTTGTTTAACCCTCAACAGGGAAAGTAATTTTCCTCGGATCAGCCGTCCAGGTTTACTGGATCCTCGTCCTTCCTTCTGGTTGGCGGCAGTTGACGATATCCTCGTTTTATGAGTTCGGAATGTGAGCGCACGCGATTTTTGTGAGGTCTGCAAAATAATTCGACTTTGTTCAATTAGATGTTTATAATGTTTATTTTCAATAATTCAAACGCTCACACACACGCTTCCACGCACTCACAATAGAAAGTCCGCGCACACGATCGCTCGCGCTTCGCGGATTACGCAATCTCGCCTTTCGCCGGGAATCCCAGCGATCGGGGATGCGCGTTAAACGCAATACGGTTTGCGTCACTAAATGCGCCGCGGAAACGACTCGGCCCTGCCACGTCGTATAAATGCGCGACAAACTCGCGCTAGATCCGTTTCGAAATCGTATATCCGTACTCGCGACGTCCAATCGAGATAATTTCCTCGTCGGTGTTTACAACGCTCGCTGAATAACTTTGCAATGGATTACGCAATACTTTGCGGGACTTTTATTACGCGGAGTTTACTCGCGAACGTACCGGAACAAAAGACCTCGTTGCCATCCGGGCAACGATATTTATACCGTCGGTCGCTTTTCCCCCTCTCCGCGTTTGCTACGCACATAACTTTTAGCGCTCGCTTCTACTTCTTGGATTGGCCGGTTCGCCGTACCAATCCGGCGCTTTACCCAATGTTTGGGCTCGTCTCACTGAATAA